TATCCTTCCTTTTCAAAGATTTGCAGAAAGTGGGGTTCTTTATAATTGACGTCATCAGGCATGGTCGCCTTTTTCATGACGTCAAAATAGGAACTTCAAAAAAAAATCAAAAACATTTGACGTCTAAATGGAATTTCGACCAATCAATTGTCAAGAACAAAGTTTCTCTAGAGTTGAGAAATATTTTCTCACACCGATCGAGAAATGTGAAAATAGCACGAAAATTAGAGAAATTATACAACAGTTCACTCTCCTGATCACCAGGCGGTCTTCCAGTAAGAATTTGAAATGAGCATTCGCTCATACTATTGACTTAATATTTTAGAATATTTTATTAGACTGCAAATACAACAGCAAACTTGTGTATTTTTTTATGGTAACATGGAAAAAAAATCAAAAAACAACCAACCAACAAATTATTGTTTTCTAAAATATAGGTAACGCTATATTTAGTCAATGACGTCACATGTTTGCCATTATATCACATAACATATTTCATATGATTGTTTGTATGGAGATTCCAATAGGGGAAACGGCATTAATCTTTATTAATTAATACAATCAGTTCAAGGCGTTAACTGTCGATGGTTTAGAGCGGAATAATGAACCAATACATATCAGTATATCATAGAACAATCGACTAAGAATGCTTGATGATCATAACGTAAACTTAAGCAACTGTATATTTGCCTTTTTGTCGATGATTTTGATGATTTATGAACAAAACTGCCTGCAAAACATTTGTTCTGTTTTTGAGAATTACTGCCACGGATTTTGACGTTTTGCTAGTTAATTAATGCATAAATTGGACGTAGTTAATAAAATTCTTATGTGTTTGTCAATGTAAATTGCTATAAGGTCGTTGTCTTTTTTTGTTTGTACAATTAACGTAACTTCCTAGTTCACCAAGTAAAAAAGTAACCGATTTGATACCATACCCGAGTAGTTACAGGGTGGATTATGTAACGATTTATTATGAAGCAAACTCTAAAATATACCCTTCCTCTAGGTACACAATGTAATTTACAGTACATTTCATACAACAGAGGAGCAAAATCGTGTTTTAGGTAAAACGTTAAGCTGCATGATATTTCAGTACTGGAAAAAGGAAGCATTTAAAAATATGAATATTAAGCTAATTTGCATCAACAACATCAGCATAATAGATGCAGTTATTAAAAAAAAGAATATCTATAACTTTATATATAAGACAACTATGCGATGAGAGTGTGCACCGTAGGTTGTCATCTTAAACGACACATTGAATAAAGAAAAATATCATTTAACTATAATTGAATAATGTTTTAAATGTTGTCACTTAGTCTTAAAAGATGTTTCTTCTTTCTAGGTTAATTGTTCATGTATTTACTGTACAATTACAGTGGCGATCTACATTTTAAACCAGAAAGTAAGTTTTATCATTTAATAAGCACAGAATTTTAAATGTCCGCCTGGGATCGTGTGTTTTCGATTGATTTAATCAGGTTGTTTTCGAGTGTGATCATGTTTTTTAGAGTGAAAATGATAACAAATGTAAACAAACAGACATCATTTCAGGTAAACAAAACAAAAAGGTGCTAGAACCTAATGTACAAGATCATACAAAGTAAATAAGTATTTGTGATAAAAGGGTTATTATCAACCCTACATATTATTGTTTTAAAAACGTTTGATGAAGCCTTACAATGCTTTTTTAAGTCATTTTTAAATACATATATACCAATGCAAATGTCAAAGGAAAAGCATACATGGAATCTATATATACATAGATATACAGACATTTAAAAATTTAAAAAAAGTCTTGTTATTCCACTGATAAGGGCATTTTGGAGAGTAAATAATTTTTACATGTCCGTGTTTTTTCGAGAGCAGTCCGTGTTTTCTCGAGTGCGTCCATGTTTTATCGAGTGCCCAGGTAAAGACTGTTCATAGCATGCACGTCCACTGTATCGAACCTACACATGTTTACGTATGTTTGGATCGATCCAACATGCCCAAATGCCCAAACCCATGTAAACATGTTGTATCAATTCAAACATACGTATACCGATGTCGATTCCATACAGTAAATTTATATGATGTGAACAATCTTCGTGTGAGTGTACCGATATGGATTTCATACAGTATATATTTCGTAAACAATCTTTATTTGAGCACAGACATGTTGATTGCAACGTATGTACACATAGGTGTTTAAAGCTGATAAATGTGTGTTTTTTAAACAGAAAATACATCCTAAATGTTTCATTTACTATTTTTCTTGATGGTAATATGTTTTATTGTTCAAGAAATGAAATACAAGAACAACATTCAAATGCACCTACTGTAAAGAGGAGTTTGATCAAGTGTATATTATGCTTAGTCACACAGAAAAAAAATACTCTCATAGCTTCCTTTCCATCAGAATTTAAAAGAATATGAATTGACAATGTATATTTGTGAGTTGTACGCATATTATATACACATTTTTTTATTATTATTTCAAAGGGGTCGTATTATATATTATTTTTTTCATTTTTTATTAAATACATTCGATGATTAAGTCCGCGATGTTATCAGCAGCTCAGAAGTCAGAACTTCGGTACTGACATAATTTTTAGCAAACCTTTCTAATACATTTTACCTCCAAGGGGACGTGGAAATAGAAATATGGCCATTTAGGTCATCTCCAGACCGGCAGTGAAAAGATATAAGAAGATGTGGTGTGAGTGCCAATGAGACAACCCTCCATCCAAGTCACAATTTGTAAAAGTAAACCATTATAGGTCAAAGTACGGCCTTCAACACGGAGCTTTGGCTCACACCGAACAGAAAGCTAAAAAGGGCCCCAAAAATGACTAGTTTAGACCATTCAAACAGGAAAACCAACAGTCTAATCTATATGAAAAACGCGAAACGAGAAACACTTATGAACGCCAACCACTGAACATCAGGTTTCTGACTTAGGACAGGTGCAAACAAATGCAGCGGGTTTAAACGTTTTAATAGGCGCCAACCTTTACTCTTAAAAGCATTGCAACAGTGGGGCGTCCGTTTGGCTGTGCGGGAAGAAGAAGTGCACAGCCACGTCCGGTTAGAATGGGATGTGTAGAGATAGTGCCACGCTCTCTGCACGTTAAGAACAACTCTTTCAGGGGTACATATATGGCCTGTTGCAATGCAAAATGTCTGTTCCCATCCAACATACCCTCAATTTCCAGTTGCACCCTCAATCTCCCGACCTTCATCCCGAACGGCCTCTTACATGATATACCTATTGTATTTATTGTTTATTTGTTCTCGTCCTGAACATGCATGAAATATTTGCCACTGGACGTTAAGCAACCAACAGTTTATTGTCTAAAATTGTCTGTTTAAAAATTTAAAAATTATTAAGTAACTAAGGTTTCAACTCCTTCAGTCAAAGTTGAGCCTTAGATGGATTTCATTAATATTTTTTGGCTTTTGGTCATATAGCTCTTCAACTGTTTCGGTTCTTATATGTCCCTGGCTTAAGAATACTCGGCTTTGAGCGGTCCGGATGAAGGTAAATCCAATAAAGCGCTGTGACGCATGAAATTTATAAAGTGTTGTTTTCATTTTTTTTTATAAGATATTCAATTCAATTCAAATGTTATTGTCAATGGGAAATAGAACATGGACGGATTAAGTGTGTGTTTTTTGTTTTGTTATTGTAATTGATTTAGGGGGAAGAATATTTGTGTTTATATTGAATTTTTTGGATTTTTTACTGCTTTTTTTTTGTTTTCGTACCCCTATTTTTATAACTCAGGGGTTTCCTACTGTTAAATATATCAATCATTACATATTATTGACTGTAAAACAAAGGCAGCATGAAACGAAATTGTAAAGGTAATAGATTATGTAGATACCCTGTAATCTGTCCTAAAGATCGTTTTAAAAAGGCCCAAATGATTTCTTATATATCGTAATACTGCAATTTGCAAAGTTATTGTAAAATGTTTGCAATACAGAAACATGCGAAAATAAGCATTTAATCAAAAATGATAAAACTTGATCATCATTGTATTATGTTTGTTTTGACTTCTTGGGAATATATAACATTGTTCTTTACTTAATTACAGTTATAACTAGAAGAAAAAAAAAACTAGTGTAAACGCAAAGAATGCCTTCTTTCTTATTCTTATTTCTTTTAAAAACCCGGACCGTTTGTTAAAAAAACTGGACGTTTTAAATATTGCTCTCGAAAAAACACGAACATTAATGTAAACCGCAGGATTTTAAGTGAAATTCAAGAAAATTGTGCGTAGTTTCTGCTCAAAATATGTATAGTATTCAAAATAAGATGAAAAGTCGTGAATTAAACTACTATACTTGCATAATAGCAGTAAATTGATCTGATCACATGTATTATCACTCAAAAAAAACCTGATCTACACTCGAAAAGAATGGATTTCAACTTAAAGTTTGCAATTGTCAACTATTTGTCAGTAGTCACATATCCTTTACCCAATCGTATGGTGTACGTATCTGAATTGATACGGTTACGCTTTTACATGTTAACACAATATGGACTTCATTAACAGGGATGTGCTCCTAACTGAAAAAGTGCTTAAACCGAGTTGATTAATGACCCAGATCTACACAAAATTTGTCGATCACCATAACGAATTTATTGATCATTACCTTGCTTACGATGTGTCTGAACTCAATAGCGACATGTTTTTGCGGTCGTAGATCTTTAGATACTATAAAAGTCGTCTGGTCTGATAACTTACCAATTGTGTCCTGTTCATGATTGTGAAATTTTATTGAGTTTGGATTCGCATGAGGGGTGATACATGCATAGCAGGAGACGCATACCTTCTCCTACACATATTGATTTGCACCCTTGTAAGATCAAGCTATTCCCTTAGTCTTTGTTTTACCTTGATTTTATTTTAATGGATTAATGAGACTGAAACATTATTAAGTTATCAGTTTGTTTAATTCACATTTTGTTTTAAACGACGGACGAAAATACCAACACAACAAATACATGAAATAAGCATGAACATATTTTATTTCGAACAGACAACACATGTCATCTCCCTACCGTTAACATAAGGCGGACAAGGGGTAGCTCCGTTACATTGCGAGTGTACGGAGTACAAAATGCCTTCGTTTGACAATCTGGGAATCTTCCTAATATAATCAGGGTTGCCATCAACACAGATGTATTCTGGATTAGCCTTATTTGAAGGATGACCGCCCATCAGATACCCGGTGTATTCCATCCTCCAATTCTCATAGCATCTTTTTCGTCCTGGAATCATCATGGTGGACGATGCCTGTGTCAAATCACAAACAGCACATTGGATCATATAATAATTGTATTTCTTATCAAATAGGGTGTTCTGGATGTTTATGTCATAGTTTTGGAACACAGCAGCACCAACAAAGGGACTGCTGTTCACTTTGTTATCATAAAAACCCCACTGTGGTTCATTTGGAACACAGAGATTATTAGGAGGGCCTGCAACTGTGTATGACGATCCACCAACAAAACCTTTAAAATATGAAGAATAGTTAAATAAAAAAAAAAAGATCACTCACTACTGTAGAACTTAATTTATTAGATAATTCGCACTACATTGAAATTAAAAGCTATCAAAATGGTTATAATGAAGACGGTTTTCATTTATATGTATCATAATATACTTATGTTTATCTATTTTTGGAGATAATTAAGAGGATATATATTTTTTCACAAGTTCGATGAAAATAAATCAAATAAAAAGTTGAAACGAAAAATATAGATATTATTTCATAAAACATATCATAAGATCCTCTTTGCAAACATATATTTAGAGAATAGTACTAGCTATTGTTACTTTTCAACCATTTTATTATATTTCAATATAAACCTTACCACTATAAACTAGTTTTGCTTTTGAACTGGTGCAGGTTGACCTACCCCATTGGATGTAATTGGTTCCGTCTAAAAGAAATAGTATTCACAATGTTAGAGCATGTCATTTGACCTGAAACTATAAACCACATTTTTTAACAGAATAATGTTACAAAATATCCCTATGACATCCTAGCTTGACGGTGTAAAAAGGATGTTCTTAGGAAATCAGTTGTTAATGATTTTTTTTCGCAATTTTTCCATTATAGATAGTTTGATTCTTAGTCCAAGGTTGACTTAACTTTCAAATAGAGTGGTCCCGAGCATCGCTGAAATATATTAATGGTCAAAATACACGTCTGGTGCAATAAATTTGATAATGGTATTATTATTGCAAAGTCGCCGGGCGAAAGGGAGCGTGGTATATTATATGGACATCTTGCTATTGATGACAACTATATTGAAATTTAGAACTTTTTTAAGGTATCTTTGACTTTGTTTTTTTCATTGACTTTTACCCAGTATCTTCTTGTAATAATACGTACATACACAATATTTTAGTTACCATACTTTTTTTAATGTATGGATGTGTATGTTATTTCCGAAAACATTATGTCATATATATAAAATTGAGAATTGAAATGGGGGATATGTCAAAGAGACAACAACCCGATCAAAGAGGAGACAACAGCCGAAGGCCACCAATGGGTCTTCAACGCAGCGAGAAAATCCCGCACCCGGAGGTGGTCCTCAGCTGGCCCCTAAATAAAATTGAGTACTAGTTCAGTGAAAATGGACGTCACACTAAATTCCAAAACATATAAATGAACTAAAATTAAAAAACATACAAAGACTAACAAAGGCCAGAGGGTCCTGACTTGGGACAGGTGCAAGGAAACACATAGCAATACGCACAGTAAAACTCAGTTTAAAAGAAGTCCGAGTCCAATGTCAGAATAGGTAAAAAAAGAAACTAAGCAAAATGACAATGATACATAATTAATAAAGGACTACTAGCAGTTACTGACATGCCATCTCCAGACATCAATTAAACTGATTGAAAGATTATGTCTTCATCATATAAAAATCAAGTACAATCCCTCCCGTTAGGGGTTTAGTATTATACCATCATAAAATATACGAGAAGAACATAACCCGTATCATGCAAACAACTGGTTTTAGAATAAATGTGTTTATTTCCGATGCAAAGACCCTATGAGTGAATCATTATTAGTACCAAAATATGCAATCATTAATGACCTGTCCTTTCCGAACAAGTCTGTTTAAATGTTTGGTTAGCTTTTGAGGTGAATGCCGACATTTTGTGCTTTGTAAAGAATATTACCATAAAATATTGGATGTGAAATATCTGAATGTATAAGATGTCGGCATGTTGATTTATATTTACGAATGATGATGATTATTTATACTTAATATATAATATGAATGTTGGCTAACTTTGAAAATTGTATGTTTGTAAATATTGTCATGTTTGTATTGGTTACAATCCAATATTTGGATTTTACACTAATAAAATGATTTAATATGATATATAAAATAATTTGGTTAAGGAAGGTCTTTCCTTCGTCCAGACGGAACGACCTTCTTATCATTTTTATGTACATTACGATTGTCTGTACATCAAAGGTCTTTTTATTCATATATTTAATGCCACAACAGTATGTCTCAATGACATTTTAACCTAAGTTCAGATCTGTAGATGTGTAAGGTGATGCAACGAACCTGCAAATCGTGTCATTCAAATTTAAGCACAGTAATTAGCAACATAATAGGTGAACTGACATTGTATAGAATATTCTCAAAAATTATTATACTAAAGAGTTTATAACTACAACATGTATATATACTGCAGCTTACTGCTTACCTTGATTTCTTTACCAATTCACAAAAAACAAGATCAGTAGCGACCATATGATCGAATGAGACTTATCTGCGAATTTCTACATCGATTAGCAAACCGACAGGTGCCATTTGTGGATCTGATAATGGTTCCAGAGCATCCCTTTTTCAGCGGAATTCCTGCATCTCAGTGTTTAGTTTGATATGTAGTGTTTTGTAAACTTGTTTGAAGTTTTCCGTTTTTGTCATGTTTTTTTTGTCGGCCTTTTTTTCGAATTATGAGTTTTGATTGTCCCTTTAATATCTTTCGCCTCTTTTATTTTTACAAAAAATGTAGTTTTTGCTAACATCTCCGTCATATGGTCTCTGGAGGAGAGTTGTTTAATTGGCAATTATAACACATTTTTTTTTATAAGGGAGTTTCAGTTGTCCAAACAATATCTCTATTCATTGGATTTGTCAAGATATACCAGATTAAAGCGATAAGAATTAAACGCTCATTTTCAGTTCATTTGATTCTAAGCACAAATATATTGCATAAAATGTGATTTTTTTTCAGTATGTCTTAATATATCCATTAATAAGACCCATTATAAAAATATTCTTTCGTAAAACAGCGTTAGGCTAGATGTAAGAACAATAGTTGAATGTACATTAACAAAAAATCACAATGTTTACATAAAGATGTACATGTATTTCTATGTACAGTACGTTTCTGTTATTTTCGTAACTCACCCGTTCGTTGTTGTATGCTGTTAAAGTTCTTATTCACTGTTATGTTCATTTTGGAAATATCCTCTTCTTGTTGCTGTGACTTCGTCGTACATTGCTGTAGTTTGTTTGAATTCTTCTTTAAAGATAGTTTCAATGAAGATATTTCTTCTATTTAAAACAAACAGTAATAAAATTATCATATTTGTTTGTTTGTTGTGTTTTTGGAAGGTGTTGTTTTGCAATTTTGAAAGATTTATTTCATAAGCGTTTGAAACATATTTTGTTTAAACATTTGTCTTATAATTTTGAACGTCAGACGCGCGATTCGTCTTCATAAGACTTATCAGTGGTGCTCGAATAAAAGCAGTTGGAAAGTCTAATCAAATACAGAACATTAATAACCGAAAATTCTGAAAAGTTGGGCCAAATACGGATAAGGCAATCTTTATTTGGAGAAGACGAACCATAGTGTTTTGAATATTTCACCATTTTATACATAGTTAATTAACCGAAAATTATATTCATGATATTTCATGTCAGCACGTTGGTGATACCTTCGAAGGACTAAACATCCACAAACAGTTGCTTTGACCTAGTGGTTTCAAAAACTCACCAAGTATCATAACATGTTCATTATACATTACGGTGATTTCACTAGCAAACACTTATGCCAAATACTGCTGGTCATAATCTTGTTGATAATCACATAATTGTTTACGTATCTAAGTTCTTATATATCCTTGACCTTTACAGTTTTAGGGGTTTGAGCGTTCCTATGAATGTTAATCAGATAAGCGCGTCGAACGCACTAAATTTATAAAATGACCGAGACATTTTTTCCTTCTATCATAAATTCCACATGTTTGACAAGATTACAGATGTCTTTTTTTGACAAGTGTAGCTTTGTATGATTTTGGGATGGATCAAAGACCCTACACGTTACACCTTTGCACCATACACCTTACACATTACACCATAATGCAATTTAATTTCAAAGAAAGCGTGCGACTACAAAATTATTTATTTATCTTAAAAATCGAATTAATTGTAAATTAATGTATGAAATTATAAATCAGTTCTTATCAATATTTTGCATAGTTTTAAAATTTCGTACACCATTCATTCATAATATTCCCGATCGCACGTTACACCATTACGCAATTCCCCTTACACCATACACCATAGCACCATACACCGTCTACCATTGCACCATATGCCATACACCATTACACCATACACGTTTTTTTGGAAAGTTTACACCATCCAAGGGCTGTATGGTCATGATTATAAATTAACTGATTACAAGACTGAATTTTTTCGAAATACTAAGGATTTTCTACCCCAGGAATAGATTACCTTAGCTCAATTTGGCAAAACCTTTTGGAATTTTGGGTCTCCAATGCTCTCAACTTTGTATTTGAATAGACCTTATTATCTTTTTTTATTAGAGAGTCACTGATGAGTGTGTTTTAGAGAAAACGCGCGTCCGGCGTACACAATTTCAATTCTGGTATCTCTGATGAGTTTATTTCTTTGCATCTATGCATAGATAGCGGGAAATTATTGCTCATCTTCACACCTTGTGTCACTGCGTTGCAATTCCGATGTTTTGGCTCCCTTGTTTATATTTCGTTTATATTATATAGACATAAGGACAGTTGATGGCAAGCGATATAAAACTCAAAAAGTGGTAAACCATGGCCAATAAGTGGCAAATTTTTTTTTTTATCAAGGCTTGTTAGAACGCGTCGTTTGTTTAGAGTCGGACAATTTCTTGAATTCATTTGGCGTTTTGCAAATTCACCTCATGTTAGTCCTTTGAAAACGCTCATTTATATAGGCTGTTATTTATTTCCTTGTTGATAATGAGAGTAGTTGTTTATTGTGAAACGAAATAGCATGCGGGAAATAGAAAAAGATACTCAAACTGAAGTTAATGGTACACTAGACAATAACTGTTGTGTAAAAACATTGTTCTTAACATAATTTATGAACTTCCCACTTATTTTCAAGTGTAAACAATAATTGTTTGGACTAGTATTGAGAAAATAATTGTATGAATTTCAATATTAAATTTTCGTTACAAAAATACGTCACTGTTTGTGATGTCCTGTGCTGTCTGTTGTAATGGAAGATGTTCGTTGTTATTCCGCGGTTTACATGTTGTAACGACTATTATATTATTTATTTGTGCGTTTCTCTGTGCTGAGTGTTCTTGCGTTTGTTTGTGCTGTATTTCTCTTACGTAGTGTTGTCATTTTAGCGATGTTTTTTAACATTGCCATATACGCGGGAGGTTTGGCTAGCCATAAAACCAGGTTCAACCCACCATTTTTTCTTAAAATGTCCTGTACCAAGTCAGGAAGATGGCAGTTGTTATCAAATAGTTCGTTTTTATGTATGTTGTCGTTTGTTTTTGTTGCACTTCAGTGTTTCTGTTGTTCCATTGCTTTCCTCTTATAGTTGATGTGTTTCCCTGGGTTTTAGTTTGTAACCATGATTTGTTTTCTCTCTATCGATTTATGACTTATGAACAGCGGTATACTACTGTTGCCTTTATTTATCTTTTAAGAGTGTTCATCACTAAATATTTCCTCGGATAGAATTTTCTTATACTTTGCCATAACGTAGTTTTCACCATGCTGTTTTCAAAAAAATAAAATGAAATGTCTTGGTCACTGTGCTATTTTGCAAGCTACAAGTTGTGCAAAATTGCATAGATTATTCATATGATTTTTTTTTGTGAATAGAAAGAAATTTATGAGATAGAATTTTGAAATAAAATATTAGAAGACGGGTGGAATATTATGCTTTTTGGATGACTAAGTGGCGTCAATGAAATTGTTCTCTTGCTACAAGTAAAAGAAATAAAACTTTATTTACATTCCTTTTTAAAATTGTTACTATAAGAGTTATCTTCCCTTCTATGACTAAGTTGAAAAATTGAATCGGACAAACACAAATATTCGGTATTTGTAAAAACAGTCTAAATAATGCAGCACATCACTTATTTTTCATTTTAGAAATATACAGTCTTACACATAAATTGCCATTCGGTTTGAAAATTTGCAGATTGAAGCATTCGTGTGCTGCTATTTTACAACCAATGGGTACAGTCAATCTACCATAATTAAACAAATAATATTACCTTTGTCTTTTACACTCTGTTTCATTAACTTCTGCAAATCTGATTGTATTCTGGCAAGAATTACACGGTATTCCTGACTGTTTCTATCTCCAATCTTCGTCTTGAGGTTTGCTACATTTTCCTCCACTTTGCTAAGCCTTCCTTGTTTATCATGATTCTGTGTTTGAAGATTTCCCAGCTGTGTCCCAATCTGAGTCAATCGTTGTAATATGAACCACGTAAGTGGGGTATTCGATCCTTTATCTGATACATCAATGAATCCTTGAATTTCTTTTGATTTGACAAGGCAAACAAGACAAAAAATAAGAAAAAATCTACCTTTCATTCTCCTCAGGCGGTTATAGATTATCGATCGTGTTGTTCCACGTAAACTGTAATATGAGTCCAGCTTTATTGCGGGACTTTTGATGTTAATATTTTTATTTAAATAACATTCGATCGATCCTATTGTTTTAATGTTTAATGTTATAATTATTCACAATTCAAACACTTGCATGAAATTTACAATGTTATAGACATTTATGAAAAAAAATGTAGACCTATCAAGGAATATGTACTACTTTTTTTGTAAATTTATAAGGTATAGACGAACCCGAAATTGAGTATTAAAATCTGTCAAATTTCAAGAGCATGATTGTAAAAATAAATTAGCCACGAAAAATAGTTTTCCTTAATCCACCAAAATTGGTACCAACGAAAGGAAATTGAATCCACAAATTAAGGCTTAGTTAAACTTATCTGAAGTAACCGTAAGCTTTCAGGTGCCAGCAGATTTATTCATGCAGCAAAATTAAAAAAAAGGAGCGTATGAATTGCAGACAAACTGGGACGTACATGGAACTTGATAAAAAGCCAAATTCAACATGTTAAATTGAGCGCGGGATTTCACAGAGAAAAATTCTAATTTTCTTTTGGACAGTTTAAACAATTTAAGCACCAGATTAGTCCATGCATCTATATGATCAAAAATGGAATAAAAAAGTGATGTTAAGGCTGCTCGCTGATCTTGTTATTGGCTTTTTGTCAGATATTTAGAATCCTCTGGTTTTATCCATGTATTTTGTTTCTAGAACAGTTCTCTTGTCACTTTTGAAAGTTTCTAACAGACGCGCTTCTTCCCTAGAACAGTTTCGGACTGTTCTTCCCTGGATAATTTCTCCCTGATAGAAGATTCTGACATATATTTTCATTGTGTTCTGTTACAAAAAATCTATCAGATGTGCGGCAAATGTAGAATCTGATCCTTACAGTATTCACATAAACATCGAACATTCGTTTTTTTTATTGGAAAAAGCCATAATTACATCTTTTGACATCATTAAGTCAAATTTAAAACTCAATAACAACCAACAAATAAGAATATGCGTCATTTTAACATGAATTGTTCCATTCGTGGGAACGTGAAACGTTTGATGCATGTTTCTCGCATATTTCCATGTCTAAAGACAATGGTAGTTCTCTAAGTATTTTTTTTATTGTAACCAAATGCAATTTGTTAAGGTCGGCAAATCCTGTGTAGATTAAGGCGAAAGTAGTTTATCAATGTTCAAATCTCATTAGTTGATTTAGAAGAGACAAATCAAGGTAACAATCAAAACTAAGGGAACCACATAAACTCCGAAAGGATCGAGACCCGTGTTTGTTTGATAAAGTTATCATACTCACTTTGAGAATTGTCTTCTTCATTTAGCTAGAAAAAGTAAACTATCGAGTTTACAAAATATAAAAAATTGTATTAATGTTTATTTATATATATACAAGTAGTTTTACTTGTATGTCATACAACAATAGATAGCCATTTCTTCAGATATTATATTTTTACACGCCTGCAATTATTTGGTTTCCCCACGGATAGACCAAATTAAGTATTTTGCTGATACATAATAATTATGTAATTCTAGGATTTTACCATTTCTGATTCAATACGTTTTGTATTTATACATTTTCTACCGTATATTTGGAGTTAATAAGACCATGCATTCTTCCTTGTTAGCGGATACCCTCTATCAAGGAAATAATGATAGGAAACTCAAGCTCCGAAATAATGTGTTTCATATCAACTTGGGTGGGGTGGGGGTATATACTCCATTCGCAGACGCTGCTGGAATGTTGCTCTATTTAAATGGAAATTTTACATTTGGGATGCTGGAATCGTCTCTTTTGTCGTAAAGTTCTGTTCCCAACCAAACCTCATTGTCTATTTCTAGATGTAAGTCAAGATATGAAGCAGACTTAACTATACCTGTTTAATCCTTTATTTCTTGTTCGACGTTAAACATGGTCACCAAGCTTTGCAATAATTAGAGAAATGACATTATCAATATTGCGGAACGTTAAACATATCCAGAAATCAACGCCACTTTGCTTATTGAATATTATACTAAAGAAATCGGATACGCGTACGGGTCACGGAAATTATATTGAAATGAAACGGAATTTTGAAAAAAAATGTCTGTTTTAACTTTAATTTAAGTGATAAACAGGTTGCGGCGACAGAAAATAAATATACACAACAATATACACCATTTAAACGAAACATAATGACTGTCGTTGCAAAAATCAAGGTTCCTGAGCTATTTTAAAAAATCGAAGCGAGAGGCTTTTAACATTGCAGCATAAAATACAGGATAAAATGGCTGAAACGTCAAATTTGCAAACTTCGTGTTGAAAATTGGCTAACAAGGTCATTACAAAAACAGGTTGCGGGGATGAAACTTGAAACTTGAATGTCCAAAGAATAAGCAAGTCCAAACCTTGTATGTGTAGTAGTTGAACTCTAGGTTCCCACGTAAAGTTAAAATGCTCCTATTTCAAGAAGAATAAACTCACGAAAACACGAAAAATTCACTAAATTCGCGTTCATTGTTTTGATTTTGACCGCCTGACAACTTTACGGAAATATCAGAGTGATTATAAACAAGGACTCTGTGACGGGCAACTTATAATATCCGTGTTTTAAATATTTTAATGATATCAAGCCAGTCCAGTTCAAACTATTATCACGTGGTACAATTCTCATTTACATATTATGAATATTAATTAGAAAAAGTACTACTAATTTCTGGCTATGATTAAGGGATGCTAATGCTAGTTTCTTTTTCTTTTCATTCATCCCAAGATGCTCCTATATAAAGTCGGCCTCATATAAAGAGTCTAACTGGAAGCTTAGGTGGAAAAGGGTACATCTTGACATACTGATCATTCGTGATTCTGTCAGCTTTTCTGTGATCTATTATGGTTTTCAAGAAATTAGTCATCAAACACATTTCACCAATATATTATATGTTAAGCCAAGGTTGGTTGATTGACAGGAACAAAAAGCAAAGATAATATTTGGAAAATGTTTACGATGACAACAAACGACGACTGAGGACATTAAGCGATGGTAATTACTCAGATGGCCCATAGGGCGAAATGAGTTAAATGCAACAAATCAGACGACAATTGTGATGTAAAAGATATACATGTAAGATGCATACCTTGCCTTATAGTATCCTTGAGATCATACAATACCGATTGGATTTTTATCTCACTCTTTTTGGGACATTCTATATGCACAAAATTGACAAAATTTAAAAAAAAAGAGAAATGTATAGAAATATAGTTATGATTGAATTGTAACGATATGTTCAATGAATTGGTAGATATTAAAAATATCTTTCTTGTATAAAACATTAAAACATGTTTCTATAAAAATCCTTTAATTTTCAATTTGAATAGTCAATACATTTGGTTTTAAAGAATAATATCAACGCCTGTAAGAGAAATTCACTGATATTAATAATATCGATCTTTAAGATATAGTACGAGCGATAGCGATTGAATTCCTACATTGTACAATTCCATTTGTAGAAAAGACTATAATAGTTCATATGTAATCTCAATAATGAGGAAGTTCTGAAATATATTAATTTAAAAACCAACACATGGGATCTGGTTAAAACTTAGATTGTTCTGCGTGACTGAAGATTTGCAATATAATACACATTTAAAAAAAAGAATTTTAAATCAATATTTATTTTTTTGACATGAACAGTTTATTTTGTAGTTGTATTGTTCTTTTGTAGATACGACTACAAATAACTATATTGTAATTATATACATAAGTTTTTAAACGCTCTTTGTCTGTTCTATGTTAAATTTTTATGGATACCGTTAAAGTTTGTAAAAAATCATTTGAAAATTTGAAAAAAAACGAGAAGAAAACTGGAACCCTCCAAAGTTTGATTTCGTATTTTTGACTCGATGTCTCTATCTTAACATCACGGAAAATTGAAGAGAAGTACAACGGCTATGTTTATTTTCGAAAAGCAATTTCCATCTAATCATAAAACGACATCTAAACAAAATATATGTATTAGTAACTTGTCTCCTACTGACATCTTTATTAATAAATATGTAAATTCTTTAAAAGGAATAAAAGAGAAATGATACTGATTTTGTCGCGCGCGCAATGTGCATTGGTCCTGAGTAACATTAATTCAAATCTGTTTGCGCTGTGACGTTTTGATTGATATTTGAGACGGGTAAAAAGGAATATTTATTGTTTGAAATTTGGCTATAACAGCTTTAGATAACTTTGAATAGTGTTCATATAAATGAGGACATGTGGTATGGTTAACAGCTTTTGGTAACTTTAAATAATGTTAATATAAAATAAAGAGATGTGGTATGATTGCCAATGAGACAATGAAATTAACGCTATACATTTCATGCGTCCAAAGCTCTTTTCTGAATTTACACTCATTGGGACAATCAAAGCCAAACATTTGAAAGCCGAGAATGTATAAGTACCGTAACATGTGAAGCGCTTTATGAATAAAAGGGACCTCAAAATAAAAGCTTAATTCAGTTTACTATCCAACAGAGTTATTTTAGCCCCATTTTAAGTGTTCTATTTTTACAGTTTGTTTTGTAGTTATAACTATCCTAGTGTTGAACGCCCATAAACATGCTTAACCACGACATATTATTTATGTGCTCGTTTCAAGCCAGAAACATGGTGTCCAGTAATTTTTTTCTTTTTTGTCAGCCAAACTTTTTTTCTGTTATTGTTTTAAGCATGAATAAGCTGGAAGAACCTTCTTTATATAAAATTTGCTACATTTTATGAAAATTGGTCCTGTAGGTAAAGGCAAAATGATGAAAATGTGATTTCTATATGTTAAAATCGTTTACTATCAATAGATGATAAAAGTAATACATTTAAATCTGAAGCCCAGATGTCGTTTCGTGTGTTGTTGATTTGATACCTCATTAATAAAACACCACATATTCTTTAATGTATAAGAAACCAGAGTATATACTTCCTCATCAGAACCGTGTACCATTGCATACTATTAAACAACGTATTGTGTATTTACTAAACAAATAGAGTCAATGGGCGATATATGCTTCAATGGTTTTGAATGGTATCCCATTTTGACGTGTTTTTATATATAAATATAGCCTACACAAAAGTTAGGTTTATTTGATATTTAGTATCTTATACATGGTTTCCAAGTGATTTTTACATAGCATCATGTTTTTTAGAAACACATATATGGTTTTATTGATTACCGTTTTTCTTGGAATATACCCGGGCTCTATAGATATGTGTGTGAGAAGTGGAGGCGGTGGAAATAAAGGTGGGGATAGCGGGAGTGGTAGTGGAAGTGGCGGAAATGGGGGTTCAAATAGCGGAAGTGGCGGTTCAGATAGCGGATCTGGAGGAAACGATGGAGGAACAGGAGGTAATATCAAACTATTTAACCTTATATAATTTAATACCATTGCACAATTACTAGTATACAAGATATTTTCAAATCATTTTTAATAAAAAGATAGAATATGTTTTTAATGGCGAAGATTATGAGGACATCATTCGGAAATCACTTATTTATTTAATTTATATAATAGAGATGACGTACACCATAGATATTTTCACAAAAAAAGAAATTTCTAGAGAATTCAATCACCTTATCTATTTTTACCTTAAAAATTCAGTTTGAAAATACAGTTATCCGTATAATTAGGATTTTGTTTCTAAAAATCATTTGTTTTGAAATGGTGGTTGAATTTTGAAGTATGAGAATAAGGTATTATGTTGTTTTAAATGATGATTAGGTTTCTCTTACATAATTTTCAATGTTTTCAGACTTGTCCCTAATTTCATGTATTTTTATTATATCATCTCAACAAACCAATCATGATAGGACGGCACTTCAGATCATCACTTTCTTTAGAAAAAATATTCCGTGGCTTCTAAATGTTTTTTTGAACTTGTATACTACTATTGTCACATATCTTCCTTTGAACAGAAAAAAAATGTATTAAATGTTTTTTTATCTGGTCTGCAAGTCGCAGAATGGGAGACATAGGGATTACTATCCGGTGGTGGCGACGTAAACTATTTGTATAAAGCTTTATATTTCAGAAGGTAGAATACCTGGATGCTTCATACCTTGTACACAGATACTTTATGTTACGAAGTTTCCGTCTGTCATATGTCCATTGTAATTGGCCTCATTTTCATGGTTAAGTGACTGCTGAAAAAAAATTACAGTTTTTTTTTGTCAAATGAAATACTTAATAGGATAACTATATTTGGTATATGGATTCCTTGCAACGTCTACATGTCCGTCATGTAGGGTTCACCTGACCTAGACCTCATTTCATGGGTCAGTGATCAAGGTTAAAGTAACGTTGTCAAGTTTGTATCTCACTATAATTGGTGTATGTAATGTTTGCAAAAAGAGAGGCGAAGGATATGAAAGGGACATTCAAACTCATAAGTTGAAAATGAACTGTCAACACCATGGCATAAAAACAGTTTACAAAACACAACATAGAAAACCAAAGACTGAGCAACACGAGCCTCACCAAAAACTGAGGGTGTAAGGTGTAAATGTCCGTCTGGCAGGTTTCATATGACATTGACCCCATTTTCATGGTTTATTGGACAATGTTTGGTGTTTGGTATATTTCTCAGATATTATAAGCAATAAGTCAATTATATTTGGTGTAAAGAACGATTGTTAGGTGTACATATCCGTCTGTTGTTAGGGTTCATACGACCTTGGCCTCATTTTCAAGGTTCATTGGTCAGTGTTAAGATTGTGTGGTTTGATCTGTTTCTGTTATATTATTAGCAATAGGACCACTATATTTGGTGAATGGAACGGTTGTAAGGTGCCCTGCATTACATGTAACAGTATACGTCCATACCAATTTTAAGCATATTAAGTCGTCTCGCAGGCCTTCAGATTTTTTTGAAAATTTAGTGTTCACCCCAAGAACCGGTTTGGCCACAGCATAACAATTTCAAGTTTATTTACAATTTACACAGTGCGTATATGTTAAGTATGTTTAAATGAACATATGTTCTCATAGTTTAGGACTTTACTCATTATAGGTTGAAAAATACAGGCGAAGTTTAGATGTTTATGAAGTGTCCTATATTTTGACTTTAGTGGAACCTTAAAGTTTGTGTGATACTTGTAGTAAAACTTTCATATTACATACTTTCAACATAAATTCAATGATAAGTAAAACAGGCGAGACAATTCAGCGTGTGCATTCTTGTTTACTAGAACTGGCTAAGCTTTGTATTTCTTTCATAATATTTTTGAACACGTATTCCGTCAAATAGTTCTTTCTATTAATTTCAGTCATATTTTTAATGTTATATAGCATAAGAACTTATTTTTCGACAACATATACACGGTTATTTTAATGTATATTAAAACGTCATTCTTAATGTTCATGTAACATAATTTGTGAAGATAAAGGGGAATTTAATCATGATCTATAAATCTGTAATCTTACATTTAATGAAACGAGTGTATTTTAGAAGGCGACCAGAGGTGTACAGATATCGGTGGTGTATGTCAAGACGACAGTAATAAGTGTGGTGGTTCATATTTCTCTGGAAAGTGTTCAGGTGGCGCTAACAATCGGTGTTGTACAAATACTGCAGAAGGTAAATGTCATGTTGAGGTATAACAACAATTGTCAGCAAAGATGATTCTAAGAGGATCCTTCTTTACTTCATTTTACAATAGCTCATGTTGAAAATTAGATAAATTATTGTGACAACACGGTTTGTACCCGACTGAAAAACACATTTTAAACTTACAAAGCTCATGTATTTTTATGTCCCCGCCGAGTGGCGCGGGGATTAAGAAATATTCTTGTCCATACGTCCGTCCCGAAATTGGATTCCCATCCCTAAGTTTAGTTTTCCTCAAACTTATACATAATGCATAAGAGCTACCGTTTGAGGGGGCTAGGATGAAATTTGAAAAAAAAGGCAGGATAGGAGTTTTGAGTAAAAACATAGGCAGGATGAGCAATTTGGCAAAAAAAAAAGGCAAGTTGACAATTTATGTAAAAAAAAATCAGGATAAACTAATGAAAAAAGGGCAGGACCGAATAGAGTGAAAAATAAAAAGGCAGGACAGATATTACAACTAAAAAAAACAGGACAAAATTTTTCATCCTAGCATCCCATAAATATCAAATGGTAGCTTCCTTACCACAAAAACACAGATCAAGTTCAAATTTGTGTGGCGTCACTTTCAACGTTCTTGAATTATGTCCCTTTTTAATTTACAATTTGGCAAATTTGTCGTTTCCGCACTCTTACTTTACTTTGCCACCACCTATAATAATCTGAAACTTATACATGTTATAAACAATGTTTTTTTCCACCAAACACAAATCAAGTTCAAATGTTGCTGGCGTTACTATCACCGTTCTGGAGTTATGTTCCTTTATAAATGAAAAAAATTGTGAATTTGCCGTTTCCGCACTCTAACTTTAACTTGCTTCCAACAAATATTATGAAACTTATACACAATGCTTATTACCATCAACACTGATCAAGCTAAAATTTTGGTGGTGTAACTTACACTATTCTCTGTTTGTTATTTAACAATGAGACCACTCAAACACCCAATCAATCTCTAATGACAATAAACAGAAACTAAGTTTCAAAGAAAATACAACGTCAATAGGTATGGATTAGTACTTTATAGACATATTCTTCTTTTATTTATAAATGATTGATTTGAATGTTGTTTGCAAATATTTCATGTGTGTACAGAACAACGAGAACAAGTTAACAATAAGTACATCAGGTAGGTCCTGGAATAAAGGGGTCGACCAGTATCATGGGAAGGAAATTCGGAAAACCAAGGAAATTAAGGATATGTTGGATGTATACAGAAATTTAGCCCTGTGGACCTTTGAAAGAGTTGTTGCAAAGGTTCCTAGCGCGCAAAAAGCGTGACATTATCAACACGCGGGATCAATCGGATTTACCGTCCCCATTCTGACCGGACGTGACTGCTTATTGTATAGGAAACACTTGTGCACTGGGTGTATAAATCTGTATGTTACACGGCTTCCTCCGCCTCATTTTTATGCCCCACCTAGGGGCATTATGTTTTTCGGTCTGTGCGTTCGTCTGTCCCGCTTCAGGTTAAAGTTTTTGGTCAAGGTAGTTTTTGATGACGTTGAAACTTGAAACTTAGTAGACATGTTCCCTATGATATGATATTTCTAATTTTAATGCCAAACTAGAGTTTTGACCGCAATTTCACGGTCCACTTATCATAGAAAATGATAGTGCGAATGGAGCATCCGTGTACTATGGACACATTCTTGTTAGACTTAGACCTGGAATTTGACATCAGTGGTCATCTCCGTACCAGAATCTATGACAAACGAGACGATATTAATTTTGAAATTATAAATTTCCCAAACCTTAGCAGCAATATAGCAACTTCACCTGCATATGGGATATACATTTCCCAACTCATTCGGTATTCAAGAGCTAGCATCTGGTACTCAGACTTTTTGAAACGTCACCAGTGTCTGAGCAAAAAATCCTTTTTCTAAAATAGTTCATCGGAAGATACCAAGACCTTGTTGATAAATATTCCGTATCAACTTCATAAATAATACATGATGGTTTGGAAGCATAGATTCTAGGTACTTACGTTGTTTATCATCTAAATCACGTGTTATAGTGTTCTTTGTATATTTTAACCTTTACTGTTTAGTCCATATTTGGAATATACTTTTGACGTGGCTAGGTATTTATACATCCCGCCATAGTGCTATTGTGCTATGGTCATTTTTGTATTCTTGTCTTTCATTTTTGCTTATATACTTTGACTATAGAGTGTCTATATGCCATTTTGTTTTTCTTTGTTTAAATAGTTCTTTGTTTTTATAGTGATTAAGATTATAACACAATATTGACTGCTGTACCCAAATTCTTGACATTTTTACCACACATTGTTGTCAATATAATGGAATGCTATATGACTGTCATACAAGTGAGAGGTTTAGCTAGTTTAGCTAGCTATAAAACTAGATTTAATCAACCATTATCTACATAAGGAAATGCTTGTACCAAGTCAGGAATATGACAGTTAACGTCAATAGGTATGGATTAGTACTTTATGGACACATTCTTCTTTTATTGATAAATGATTGATTTGAATGTTGTTCGCAAATATTTTATGTATGTACAGGACAACGAGAACAAGTTAACAATAAGTACAACAGGTAGGTCCTGGAATAAAGGGGTCGACCGGTATAATGGGAGGGAAATTCGGAAAACCAAGGAAATTAAGGATATGGTGGATGTATACAGATATTTAGCGCGACGGACCTTTGAAAGAGTTGTTGCAAAGGTTCCAATGTGCTAAAAGCGTGACACTCTATCAACACGCGGGATCAATCGGATTTACCGTCCCCATGCTATATGACTGTCATATAAGTGAGAGGTTTAGCCAGCTATAACACCAGATTTAATCAACCATTATCTACATAAGGAAATGCGTGTAACCAAGTCAGGAATATGACAGTTGATTTCCATTCGGTTCATGTGTTTGGGCTTTTGATTTTGCCATTTGATAAGGAACTTTCCTTGGAGTTCGGTATCTTTGATATTTTACTATTAACCACCCTACATCATAATTTTGGTGAACACTTTTGAAAACATTACCAGGAATTGGATGCTGAAACGGTGAATAACCCTTAGGCTATAGCATTTCCCGAAATTTTAACTTTTGTTTACTTTATCCTTAAATAAACAGGGACTTCATAGTGACTGGTTTGACTGGATTGAATGCAGTTGTATATATTTTCAAAGACTTTTGTTCAAAGTTTATCCAAGTAGAATGAAAAATATGAAGATTTGTTCCATTTGTTTTAGAAAAAGATACCAATGATTGTGCAGGTGTGACGATAATCTCCCGTGATAGTTGGGGAGCCAGGAGAACAAGAAGTAGTTCCTATATAAGGGTACCAGTTCCAAACATTTACATTCATCACACCGTAACAAATCCTTGTTCATCATTCTCTGAATGCATCTTAAGAATGAAACAAATACAAAACTACCACATGGATAATAGAGGTAATACTTATGGAGGATTTCTGTAAAACACCAGTACTGTTGACTACCAATTTACTGAACCATAGTCAACTTTTTAATGCATGTAAAAGTATAGTTTCACAGTAAAAAAAATTTGCAATATCCGTGTCGATGCTAGGCAATATAAATTATGACTCAGGTAAAAAGAATGTTCGTTTTGTGAATACATGCAGCTTAAATAAAAATAAGGAGATGAGGTATGATTGCTAATGAGACAACCTTCCACCAAAGTTCAAATAAAGTGGATGTAAGACCATTCATTCCTACAAAGGATTTCTAAATATATATAAAAAGTGTACAATACCGAATTAATTCTTTGATAATGAATACCTAAAAAAAAACAATAAATAAATCATATAACGAACCCCACCATTCATTACTCTGGTTTAAAAATATAATCAGAGCATATTATTCTTTATATAAGATATATATACTAGTACGTCATACAAACTGTACCATTTGACAATGAAAATTGAGATTTTCGAGTTCTTTTAGCTTGACAGTCATTAAAAATAAGTAAAAACAAGAAGGAAACTTCTTACTCGCTAAGCGAAAAAGAGTAAACGAACTCCGCAAAGATAATAGCAATTTCTCGTTTACATTATTTTACAGGATATGCTGACGTTGGATACAGCTTCCTGGTTGGAGAAGATGGGAAAATATACGAGGGAAGAGGTTGGGGTCGTGTTGGAGCTCATACAGAGGGTTACAATAGCCGAGGTTTTGGTATATCCTTCATTGGTAATTTCATGACTTTGGCACCAAACACTCTCGCTTTAAATGCTGCTAAGGCCTTGATTCAGTGTGGGATAAATAATGGAAAGATATCAACCTCTTACGATCTGTATGGACATCGTGATTTAAAGGCTACCGCGTGTCCAGGTGATAGATTGTACGATATTATCAAATTATGGCCTCAATATCATCACCCATAAGTCTATTTTAGCTGTTACGTAAATGGGGGTGTGGATGTGGTTAACAAAATATTAAATGATAATAAGGGGGGATAAAAATATGGAATAATGGGACCAGAAAATAAAGAATATTTTATGAGAAGATAATGGGGTGCTAAAATATAAAGAAGAGCGAATAGTTGACAGAAAAAAGAAAGAGCGAAGGAAAATAGGTTTAAAATTATGGAAAACAGTATAAGTAAGACCCCTCTCTACCCACACCATCTTGAAGACGTCATGCGTAAACATGTATATATAATTTAAATTATGAACAAGTCTAAATTGAAAACAATTTGAATTATGTATACCTTTTTTGTTAACACGAACGTTCTTATTGTATACTTGTTTAAATTTACTATGTGTAAATAAAATATTTCGTTGCTTTATTTCGATTTTAATGCCAACAAAAGATAGTTGAAAACTCTTGTAAATGCTTTATAATAGTATATCGGTCAAACTGGGTTTGACGCAAAATTATGATATTCGCTACATATACGTTTTCATTTTTAACGTTTAATTGGAATAGAGAATAGAAACAGGGGAAAGGTCTCAAAGAGACAACAAACCGACCAAAGAGCAGAAAACAGCACACCAATGGGTCTTAAACGTAACGAAAAAAACCGCACCCAGAAGCGGGCCTCAGCTGGCCCCTAAACAGTAATGTATACTAGTTTAGTGAAATGGAGGCAATTTTAACCTTTTTTGTAAGAAATCAAACGACTTAAAAGTTTGTGTTTAGTACTATACTGAAATATATTAGATAAAAAAATCTAGCACGTTCAAACCTTCTATGTATGCTTGGGAAAAGTTCTTACACGAACGGTGAATCCAGTAAAATGTTGAACCAAACATATTGGTTTGTCTACCTTGTATAGACTTCCAGATATTTGTACTTAACAGATAATTGCCTTTTCAATAAGACTCCATCTGTTGAAGGCACTTTGATTCCCTTTCCCGTAATAAAACTTACACAAAGTACGTAAGTTAGACATACAAAAAAAAAATTAAGCCATTATTTTTCTAAATAATGCGATCCCTGTTTGTTTTATAGATCAAATATACTGTTAAGTGATCGATATTCAAGTTGGAACTAACTGTGTGCCCTCTCATTGTAGATCTAAATCTATAAGAAAACATAGTTTATCGGAAATATTGGTAAACACCTGACTAGCATTTCAAAAAATATCCTGCTGTTATTTCAACTATACATTTGCTGCTAAACAATCTATATTTTGCCCTATATTTCGTATAAATGGTCCTTGTATATCCAACTGGAATTGAGTACAATGTACCTCCAACGTTAAAGGGCATTTGAACTTACCTTGAATAAGAAGGCGGGTGTCACATGCTTATCTTTTCGCGGCACCTGCGATCACCCCCGGTTTATTTGTGGGGTTCATCTTGTTCCATCTTTAGTTTTTTATGTCGTGTTTTGTAGATTGTTGTTTGACTTTTTGTCGGTTTTCGGTTTTTTTCTACTCATAAATTTTAATCACGCCCCTAGATAGGATTTTTCGGTTACTCAAATTAAACACGATAACTTTTTTCGGTTTTTTGTCATGCTATTGGCGGTTTCTCTTCGAGCTTTCATTGTTTATTACATAAATAGACATTATTAACAGAACATTCAGTATAATGAATTAAATAACACATATCTGAGAGGATGATAGAGCAGATTGTCACCCCTCGAAAAGACATCGTCAACCTGGCTTCGCCTCAGTTTACAATGTTTTCTCGAAGTAACAATCTGCTCTAGACCCTCTCAGCTATGTGTTATTTATATATTATTGTTTCGCTTATGTTTGTACTTTTTTTATCTGTTATATTGTTCCAGCACTGATTTTCCATATATATATATATATATATATATTAACATACCTTTTGTATTATAAATATCGCTTTTCAGCTAGGGAGGTCTCAGATTAAAAAAAAACCCACAGTTTAACCTGATGCAGTTAGGAATGAGGAACCACGTCATTTATTGTCTTTTAATATAGCGTTATGTTTGTTTAATCATTGGTTGAATTTCTAGTTGAGGATTGATCTTAAACAATTTCTGTAAAAAAATAGATTACATGTAATAATCGGGACAACTAACGTTCGATACCTATCTATTGTTAACCGCAAGATGCCTCTTTGGTGTATATGTCGCGTAGTCCCTGTCTCATTTATTGCCATGCTGTTGTTCATGGCTCTTGGTCATAAAACTTTATTCCGTACTCGGAGTACAAAATTTGTGCTCGAAACACCAAATTCCAATATTTCAATTGGTTGATTTCTGAGTATGATAATCGTGCTTGCAATTTTTATGACCGCAAGATCAGACAATACCATGGCAATAAATGAGACACAAACTAACCGACGCAAGAGAACCATTGACTTTTGCTGAACATAAGAAAAATCATCGCTCTTTTGGTTAACATATACCATATAAAATTATACTTAGGCAGATATGTTCTGATAGAATGATTAAGCTAACAGATTATGTACAAATACACGACGAGAATATGTCTGAAAGAATATCCAAATCGTGAAAAGTTACTGTATCAAAAAGCCACAGAGAGAAAAAAATCATGTTCTGCAAATTAATTTCAAATGCTCCAATTGAATCTGTTTTATGAATTGTCGTCAGCACCGAACTTTGAAAGAAATATGTCTTCTTGTCTTTTGTTTGGGCGCTGTTGTTTTATATAAATGTGCATATATCAGTCAAAGGGCAATAACTGCAATATATTTTTGTTGGGTAATTTTTTCGTAAATGTTCCACATGAAATGAAAGCTTGAGATCGGTAAAAATGCAATTTTCTATAGATTATTTTTATTTCTAAGGGAATAACTTCTGATCAAATAAATAAAAGGCCATAATGATCAAACCAGTCCAAAACTTTAGTGATACATTTCATAAGAATCTGTCAAGAGATCTATGCTTAAAAATCTTTCATGCAATGCAGGCGTAAACAAATGACAATACATGCAGGCGTGAGATACATCGAGACACATTGCGTCTTACAATACAATTTTATTTAGAATTTACATTTCCAAGAAACATAATTTATGTAGAAAACAATCGATTGACACTAGCTCCCCAAGACATTGCTTTAATAAACCTTAGAAATATATATTTTATTTTGAATCTGACAAGAAATGAAGGTTTAAAAGCATTTAAAATACAATTGTCAATACATGTTGAACTTAATTAGATTTCCAAGGAACAAAATTATCGATAAAGGCTGATATTTTAACTCGCCTTAAACATTACGTGTATAAATCTCTGATATAAATAAAAAAAAAATATATAAAAAATCCTACAAGAATTGTTGGCTTGAGAGCGCTTACAATGCATTTTGCCATGTAATATATATTTTGAACACCTTAGCACAGTTTGTCAACACTGATTTTCGAACTGGTTAATAGTGATATTTCTAATAACACTCTTTGATTTCAATTTCACAAAAAATCGCAAGAATAGTACGTGTGAAAGCAAATACATCATGTCCAGATTCACGTATGGACAAATATTTCCATGAGTTAAAAAATAGTGATCGGCACAATTTGCCTGACTAAAAACCATTGATTTCAATTTCATAAAAATCTGACAAGAAATGTATGTGTGAGAGCGTTAACAAGGACGCTTAAGAACACCAACGATTAGCTTATTTAAATTTTTGACCAGGAAGTTCTATTTCAGGTTATGGATGTAGTTTCAAATCCATTGCATTAACCATTGTCTGACTGATCCATGAAACTGTTTTCAATTAAATCTTCTTGTATACTGATATAATATATGTTAAGTACTGATATTAAAAGAAAACACAAAAAAGAATAAGTTTTTTTTTAAGTTGATTGAAATCAAAAGAATCTCTTCAGAAAGATAAACCTTACAAAATGAATTATCATTGACCGAAATATGAAATTTAATCGAATAAAATAACACTTCATGCTGTTTCACATGTGGCGTTTTATAGCAATAATTATATTTTATTAAGCAAAAAACTGTTAAAGGATAAGCATTGACATTCAGATATTTATCTCGAGTTGATAGAAATAATGATAAAGTTCTTAATTAAATTGCAGCTGTTTTATAAAAAGCGGATGAGTTTTTTTAAATCAAATTACAAAAATGTATGTTTGTTTGTTATGCAATGCCAGTGTAAAAAGAACCAAACACGAATATCTTTCATTTGCTCTATAAAGAAGTCACTATCCACTCCTTGTCCTCTCTTCCTCCTTATGATTGGTTCATCGATATTCCACTTATAAATATCATTGAATTTTATAGTCGTTAGAATCACGACAGGTGTTACAATGCACTAGTTGAACAAAATGTACTTGGCAATGCTTTTTTTCAGTTATACCTAACTTTAAGCTTTTGTAGGGCAAGTTTGTTCAATCTTTACGTTTTGTGTAACAAACTGTGGGCTGCTCTTTGTCTTTTCGATTTTTTCTTCCAACTATATTTTTGTTAATATAAAAATAAGAAGATTTGGTATGATTGCCAATGAGACATTCTATATCAGAGACCAAATGACGTAGAAAGTCAGGAACTAGAGGTCACCGTAACCTCTTTTAGACTTATGATTTGGATTGATCCCTCGGTATCATTTTTGTCTCAGAATGCGAGTCATAGGGATGATAATCCAGCGACGACATAAACTAAAGCTTTATATCTAAGAAGGTAGAACACTTCGATACTGTATATCTTGTATAAATATATCTTATATTCTGAAAATTCCGTCCGTTATATGTATAAAAATAAGGAAATGTGGTATGATTGCCAATGATACAACTAATCCACCTAAGTTCAAATGAAGTGGAAGTAAGCAATAATAGGCAACCGTACGGCCTTCAACAATGAGAAAAACCCATACCATATAGTCGGCTATAAAAGGCCCCACAATTCAATTGAGAAACTAACGGCCTAATTTATAACAAAACAATTAACGAAAAACAAAAATGACAGACGGGAATCGCAAAATATTCATTTCTATGTTATACACGGAAGAAAATGATTCAAAGAAATGCATTATTTCTCGTGAAAAGATCATAATTTGTTAACATATCTAACGGCTACGCATTTGCAAGGTAATATGTCTGTAGCAAATACATGTGCATAATTATGATAAAAAACTCCGCAATGTCATATCAGAAATTAATAAAAAAATAATCAAAAGGGAACTTATTTCAATAGATATAAACAAGTCACCAAAGTTTCATGATAACTGCTAAAAGCATTTTTGAGTCATTGTCCAATATATTGGAAAATTCACCCTTTTTATGAATAAAGTCCCAATACCCCAAAACGTAAAAGCAGATTTTTTTAAAAATCAAAAGGGATCGTATGTCAATATATATAAACAATTCACCAAAGGTTCATGAAAATTGATCA